GTTGTTTACGTTCGGATACCGGACGATTTTGTTGTTGACGATCGTCTATCGACAAGAAAATGGAATTCTTAGTTTGACGTACAAGTAGTTCGTCAGTAAGACGATGATACATGAATTTTCCATTCACAAGAAGAGAGTTTGATAAATAGTTCCTTTAGGATATCAGTGACTAGGGATGTTCAGTTCTCTTATTTTCGGTTCTTCATCGGAAATCGGAACCGTAGTTTCTTAGACGGGTACTTACTTTTCTTTTAACAAAATGAAAACACACTATTGAAAAAGCTACAAAAAGATATATTTGCCTGTCATCCTTCAAAAAAATCCTTTCGCTTACTATAAAATGAATTCTACATCATTGAATTGTTACTGCCTGAAAAATTTTCAGGCTCTTAGGTTCACCGGAATCGCGGTTCTATTTGTTTCGATTCCAAGTCGAGAACCGAACATCCCTACAAGTGACATAAATTCCATTATAGTATTCTAAAACTTAAACTAGTACAAAACACAAAATTAATTTTCTACGAATAGGAAATCTAGCATATCAACGTAGTATTACATTAAACTGCAAAAAAAGTTACAGATCCGAATAAAATGATAGATATTTGCTTTTTTCTAGTGACATAAATCCGAATCGGTACACCTTCGTAATCTTCATTGTGTCTTTCAATCAATGCACGAATTCATAAGGCCTACTTCTTTTATGGTAACAATTTGCTTTTTGTACAAATTTGTTTTGGTAAAAGATTAACTTCATCCACATTTGTTCAGAATGGCTAACACTAGTCTTTTAGCCGTGTTAAAATACATGTGAACACTACAGAGAATCTAAGAAGAAACTTTGTAAAATACTGTGCACTCACCATGAATCGTATTATCATTTATATATTTCACCGTTCTAAATTGTGTTAAATAGATGAAATAGGGTTGTTTCGATGCAAACGTTAAATATTTTGGTTTTATAATTTTATGTACATAATTTTTTTCATGAATATATTGTAATACGTAAAGCATTTGTAAAAATAAATTTAATGCATTATGTTCAGGTAAACTTGAATCATATGAATTAATTAATGATTTTAAATTATCACGATATTGTTCCATAATTAAAAATTTATATATTGAACCATTTGTATGTTTATATACTCCGGATGCAACATATTCTGGTATAGCTAAATACATAAGTTGATGTTTTTTAACAAAACTCTTTAATTTATCATGTGTAGCAAATTTTGAATAAAAATTAATTTCATTATCAATTGTACACAATGATGATGTTGTGGTCTTGTTTCCTGAAGATAATTCTAATTTTACCAAATATTTTATAAGTGGTTGTACTGGTGTTGATACTGCTTTACTATTGGCTTCTACTTGTGGCTCTCCTTCTTGTAATTCATATGTGTTACGAACACCACCACAATCTTTTCTAACAATAAATTTATAAAATCCATCACCACAGCTGCTAGGCATATTTTCTCGTCTTGCTTCTTTTAATTTAAATATTTCTTTTTTTAATACTTGTTGTAACAAATCTGATAGATTATCATTTTCTTGACTTTTATCTTGTGTAAATACCATTTCAATCGAATACTTGTTCACTGCATTACTATCATATGTTGCGTCATTTTTTAAAAATTCAACGATACCATGGATCTTTTTGGTTACTTTTTCGCATAGATGATGATGATCATTTACTTGTTTAGGTTTTTGTTGTTGTGGCGTTATTAAGGAATCACTGACTTTACCACTAATTTGTTTAGTATTATTTTCAACGCTATTAGACGATGATAATGATAGAGTACTGGATGATGACCACATTAATTTACTGAAATAAATAATAAAAAAAGATTAAATTGATACTGTTAACTTCAAAAAAAAAAGATTATCGACTCTCATTTTTGAAAATTGTTAAACAATTTCATAGTGAAACCTACTCTGTTGTTGTCGTCAACGTATTTATTGACTGTTCATTGTTGTTATTATCACTCATTACTGCACCATAAAAAACATAATCTAATTCTTCATTTTGAGCTTTAGCTTTATTTAATATATCTGCTCTAGATTCTTTTAGTTTTTCCGTTAGAAACATTAGTGGAGATATTTTAGTTTTAACAATATTATGTTGTTGTTGTTGTTGATGTTGTACTGAGTGATATTTAGCAGGTGTAACCGTATGAAGATAACGTTCACGGCGTGCCTTAATACAACTTTGTATAATCCAATTATTATTATTTGAATCTTTAATTATTGTTCCATTTGGGACAATGTTCACACGATCATGTGTACGTTTACGATTACTAAATGATTTTTGATTTTGTTGATGTTGATTAGACTGATTTTTCGATGATGATAAAGAAACAGGCGACTCAATTAATGATAAAAATGAATCGGATGAAGAATAATCATAGTTATTATTAATATGACTACTATCATTTGATGATATGGATGAGGAACGTGAACGATGGTTAATACTTTTCACCGTCATAGTATTCAGAATAGTTTTTTGTTTGAATTTCACCACTTTACTTTCTTAATGTCTGTACTGTGCTTTATCTAATCTTAAACATATTAATTATGTTATGCGAATGAAAATATTTCTTTACTTTATCTAGAAAGTGGACAAATAGCTGAGCGATAATGAATGGCATTTTTTTAACTTAAATATCTCTTTTAAAATTTACATTCTATTTTTTGAGGTTGTGTGAATATCAATGTCACAATTAACAGATAACTTCATTAAGCCGAAAACAAGAAATACAATCTAAATAAGAGAAATTTGCGTATGAATAAAAAGTAATAAAACTAAATTACATGGCCTATAAATCATTTCTTTTGGCGACATTTTTATTCAAAAATTGCTGACCAGTCGGTAAACGTTATTTATCTATAATTCAACTAATTTTAAACAAATAAACAATTTCATTATCTATTTCAAAATCTGCAAAATCTTACAAAAAAAATTTTGAAGATGAGAGTACGAAAGAAAAACCACAACAAAAAAAGAATAGGAATATTCACTATCACGTCTTCTGCCTGTCGAATCTCACCACATGTCACGTATCATACGCTCGAATAACTGATACATCTTCAATGTTCTTATTGAATGTACAACTATTAAATGTTTATATTCATTGACAAATAGATATGTTATTTCATTGTTGTTGTTGTTGTTATTTCTTTTATACTGAATGACTTATTCGCGCGATATATCTTTTTTAATAATGAATTATCTATTTTGTGTACTTTATTTTATTGTTGTTTCCATAAATTTGCTACACAGAATGATTTTTCAAATGGCAGAATATTGAGAAGTTCAGTTTACTTTTTACCCAATATTTCCATGTAGACGATCAGCAGTGACTGACAACAGTGGTGCTTTCAAATCACGTATTTCATTACTCTCGATTTGATGAATAAAAAGAAACACAACAATAACGAGGATTTGCCTTAAATAACACAAACTTTAGTAGTATATACTTTAAATACACCATTTTTCAATACTTCAAAACTTTTACCACTTTAGCCCCTAGAAGTGGTGCATAACAAATCTAAACAGGTGTACAAATAGTAAGAGATGTACACTATTTATGTGTTTTTCAACGCATATACCTAACAGTCGCATACGTGGTTAACGATTTGTTCAGCTTTGATTATTTTTACCATGACAAAGGTCTGTATATAGACAACCTAAACAAAAAAGATGTCATGTTTCCCGTTTTAATGAACTTGTTAGAACTTACCATTATCTTTTTAAAAGACGATCTAAATCCATAAATAAATTATCTGTATCTCGCGATGATGAAAAAACGAGAAATTAACAAATAATGCAAAAAAATACGACTTGAAAAAATTCTTTCTACAATTCATAATATATTTTTATGTGTTTGGCTATTCATACTTATTCTTAGTCGCTTTTTTAATTTCACCAGGATAACTATTGTGTTCGAGAATAAAAAATAATTAATGCAGAATTTTCATCATTTTAATTGATGAAGATCGATAATCTATCTCAGAGTATTCGAAAATCAACAGGCTAGATAACGTTTTTTCTTCTTTTTCTCCCATTACCTTCTAAAACAATGTTTTCAACATATTTTCCATAAAGCGTTATAAGTTTTCCTCAATTATTTCTGCTTCCATAAAGCAAAAGGAAATTATTTTATTCATATCTAAGATCGTTGAATGAATCAGGAATATGGACTGGAGTCATTATTCTATCGATCTGAAATAAGAGATTTTTGTACTCTTTTAGCACTTGAAATTCTTTCAATTAGACAACAGAAAAACGATGCTATTTCACAAATTAATTGACCATCTGTAAATCCACATCAAATGAAAAAAAAAGAATAAATATTGACACAATAAAAAAAACTTATGTCATTAAATGGATTTGGAAATCTCAAAGTAGATGCTGCAAGTCTTTCCTCTTTTTCCTAACTATCTTTCCTTCTAAATCATCAGAAAACACTTTAGAAGATTATGTCTCTGTTCTAAATATTTAATAATATGTTCAAATCGCTCTGAAAAATTGTTTAAATAAAAGAATCTTTAGACTGTTTTATTTTTTGTAAAAAATTAATTTTCGATAATCAAGTACAAAGCTTTTAAATGCAACCGTTCGGAGAGATCGAATTTATCATCAGCAACTCTTACCATAACACATCGTTGTTATAAAAATATCTCGTACGTTCTTGTTTTAATAAACGAAATTCTACTATAATTTTGAATTGTGGATTTTTAATCTCTAATGGAAATAGTACAAAAAAGGGCGAACAAACAACTATAGCTTATGTCTCCACAAAATATGAAAAGAGAGATAGAGAATACAAAAAGATACAATATAAGAAAAATTTGTATCACAAAGAAAAGCAGAAATATATCTATCTATGATAGCTAAAAGAAAAGTGGAGACATAGTGTTGGTAGGGCATTCACGATACGGCATGATTAAAACATGAAATCTATAGAAATTTTAGTTTCTTAACATATTGTGGCTTATTTGTAGTTAACGTCGAGCAACAAAATAAAAAACGACGGATCCACCCACTGCTAATGCAAGTTTGCCCAAAGAAATTTGTCCCCATGATGCTAATAAATTTTTTGCTTTTTCCGATTTAGCATCTAATGTAAAAAATTTAAGTTGATCACATACAGGATTTTCAACTAATGCACAATAGGGTATGCCAGCTAGAATATGACAAAAAAATTACTGAAAAAAAAGAGAGTAGAAGAATGTGAATATTTACCCAACATTAATCCTGCTCCAGCTAACCAATAGGTGTCTTTTGTATGTTGATACGAGAGAATTCCTCCAATTCCACTTGCAGCCAACATTAAATTTGTTAAAAGTTTATTGCGTTTATGAGCTTCAATAAGCTGCGGTACAGCATGTTCACCATTTATCTGATAAAGTAAAGAATAAACTGTTCATATACCGTGAAAGAACTTAGGAGCACTTACATTCATACGAGCATCATGGTTAACGAAAATTTCGCCCAAGCCTCCACCGGTAGCCATTATACTAGTCCATATAGCAATTGTTGGACCTAAAAAGATTAAATCTGGATGAAATTTTTGAACTTTTCGATGAGGTTGAGTTTAGTGAAGGAGATTCAAGAAGAAAGACATGTTGACCTTTATTGTCCTATTTCATGCTTCATATTTTTGATTCTGCCTGAGAACGAGATTAAAAGTAATATCTAGCGCGGAAATGTTTTTCCATTCGTGCTCCATAGCTAAATAGCAAATAGTATACATCAACAGAACAGGATTAAAATCATACGGTTACCTTGTTCAGCTATTGTGTCTAATATATTTTTTGACATTATTGATGGACTAAGTAATTAAACTAGATTTTTATAAGTTTCTAAAGAACACAAAAATCATTTTTCATATATAATAACTAGAGATGTTAGGCGCGCGATCAATCGATTGTTTGAAAACGTCACGTAATTGCTGATTCAGAATAACTGAAATCAAACTAGAAATATCATACGACGCCGACAAGCAGGAGGCCGGCTAACATCTCTAGTTATAATAGATGAAGTATTTCCTAAAACAAATACGTATTTTGAAGATCAATACTTTTAGACAATTAGGGCTGATTGCACTTCACTCCTTTTACTCTCTATTATTATATTAAGTGATGGACTGTTTCACGCTTGCACGTATGTTATGATTGCCCACTAAATTTTAAAATGCATTATGTTAAAATACTAGTGCATTTGATTAATCTACAGATAATTTTCTAAATTAAGCATATCTTCCGATTGTAAATTTATCAAAAAATAGCGAAGTTATACGCCAAAAACTCACGAAATACTCGAATATAATAAAGAGGGTTCTTCAGCAACCAAGACTTTGTATCATTCGCATGGACGATACACAGTGGGCAACAACGTGGACATTAGGTGAAAAAATGAAAGTGAGATTTTTCGTGGTTTGACTAATGTAGAGTATACTTTGGCTCATGCCCGATTAAATAAAGTGAAAGATTTTGTTTCGGTTTCTTACTTTACTGCAAAACCTTTGTCAGCAACTAAGGACGTTTTCAGCCGTTTTTCAGCGACATTGGAAAAAAATTCATTTTTTTCAGAGAAGGTAGGAATAGTGGACTAACAAAATGTGTATATTCTGAAAGTAGAACATCTGTTCTACCGATTCGTAAAAACATTTTCTTTTTTCCAGTTGAAAAAATAATTCTCCTTTCTGCACTACAGGTTTATCGAAAAAGGTGTCTTCAGTAAAGTAGAGTTCCACATTTTTCCATAGCTCCAATTTTGTTGACACTTTCAGAGATAATTCTTCTCTATGTGACGCGTCTACTATAGATGCACAAAACTGCACAAATGCTGCTGGACTGAGATATAGAATTTTCAAAAAATTCTGGTTTTCAAGGGTTTTTCTTATTTTTCTAACTGCCAAAGCGCTTTTAGAGCAAAGTTTCGAATTCACATTTAGAATTCAGCTGCATCGAATGGTGTGTCTTTCGGCTGGTTCTGAATCAAATCATTTTTCACCAAAATCCAGCTTACGATGAAAATCCTTTTTCAACAGTTTTCGTCCGCAATGACATTAAACTATAGGTCCGCAATTGACCTTAAACTATGGGTCTGCAAAGACCATAAACTAGGTTGATGATGTTCGATTATGATTGTGGTACGGTCATGGACAAGGGCAGGCCTTGGATCTCTGGATTTTGTAATAACAATCTGGATGTGAGGGTAAAGTCGAGATGATTAGCTCAGTAGGAAGCGAAAATGCTACATCCCCTCTGGCTCACAACGCAGTTTGTGAGCAGCCGTTAATTGTTCGACCGAGGCCGCACTCACTGATTATTATTTTTGTGAATGCCTCTGGGGTCCCGTTGTGCACGAAACGGTTCAACAGAGCAGCGCGGAAGGCCGAGGAAGTTCTAAACCTCCAAAGAGAGTCCAATGACGCTACCGGATAGGAGCGGAGGTCTTCAGAAGGTATATGTCTTCAGTGCTTTGTCAACTAGGCTTTATAATCATGTGTAGGTTCTTTCCTGATCTGGAGATCGATGTCTCTGCGATCTACTATAATTTCTAAGGCGTGAACGGCCTTAGAATTCTGTGCACAGTTACGTGGGTACCATGGGTGGGTGTCAGATAGGTAGGTGATTGTTAACTGTAGTCTACTTGGCACTCGTGGCGCCGGTAGTAGGTCAGAAGTTCTGTACTCAGCAATGGCAACAAACACAACAATCTCTCCAATTCAAACTGTAACTGTTTCACAAGAGAGACCTACTTCAATTACTTTACATCAGCTTTATGAGAAAAAGATGTTCATTTGTGAAAAAGATGTTCATTTGGCTGTCATCCGAATATGTGAAGTTTTGGACGTAGAGGAATGCGATGAGAATAAAGAGACAATCTCGAATTTCATTAATTCTGATTTTGCAAAGAAAAAATCTCAGTTCGAAAATTGGAGAAAAAGAAGCAATGACCGAAGAGAAAACGAATATGTACAGGTAATACTTCACAAAAGTGAATTAAAACAACATCCAAAATCACCGAAAAGAACAGTAGAGATTTCAGCGAAGTTAGCAATAAACAAAAGAAACGTCGTTTAACTGATTTAAACGAGGAGTTAGACGAGTTTGCTGCTACGAACAGTCTTACAGTTAACCAAGTTCTTGATTACTTGATCCACCAGCGCAACCATTAAACAAATAAAAAACTTGCTCAATTTGGCAAAGAACTCTACGAAACTGACAAGCTAAGTCAACCAAAAAATGAATTGACTTTAGATGAAACGTTGGCATTAAAATCGCATCTCGATCTAAGTTGAAACCAGATGGATTTCCTCAAAACATTTTGTAGTTCTCATTTGACTATTTTTAACAGAGAATACGTCAGAAACTACTCTAACAATATCTTACCATCGCTTTCACGATGGAACACATCCATCAAAGAAACAGGGGTGTATGTGCAAGATAGAGAATCTGTTATCCAAATAACAGTGAAAAGATTAATAGACATGCTACTTAAGCAAAACGTCATTGTGCCAGAAAAGTTCGAATATCGAGAAAAAACTGGCCATGATGGAGCTGGTACAATGTCTATTTACAAATCCGCTAATTCACCTATGGAAACGGCAAACATCTTCAGCAAAATGTTTGCACCGCTTAGTTTAAAAGCCTCTACAGGTGAAGTTTTATGGGTAAATCAAACTCCTAACAGCTCACATTGGTGTCGTCCAGTGGCACTTATAGCTGAAAAAGAGTCTAAAGAATTACTATCTGCTGTGAATGGTGTATTTGAACCAGGTGAAAAGCGCTTACAGGAAAAAGGCATCACTTTTAACTATAACAACAAAAAATACGAAGTTAAAGTTTGTATTGAAAGCAGTATGAAAGATTTAAAGATCCGTACAGTGGAGTCCGATTTGGATGGTGCAGATTGCCTTCTTTACATCACTCGATCAGCTGAATGGAAAGACCAAAATAAAATACAAGATGTAAATTATTTTGCTATTAATCGTACTGCAGAAAAAACTTTAGTTCTCTATAAAGAGATGGTTAAAGTCGATGGCCAAATTACAAAGAGTAAAAATGATTATGCTACCAAACATGGTCTCACAAGCGAACCAGTGTCTACTCTTGACAATCATTTTATCACAATTACTCATCAATATATAAATGGGGTATCTTGGCTCCTTAAATTAATGTACCACCTTCGAGCCAATGTTCTAAATTGGTCCGAACGAGAAGATATTAAAGAACAGATTAAAAAAGCACGAAGTTTAGTTCTTAGCGAAATAGAAACAAAAACGAGCCTTCGATTGAACCAGGTAGATGCAACGGGTAATTCCGGAACATCAACTACTGGCAACCAAGGTCGAAAATTCTTTTCCTTTGAATTGAGAGGTGCTGTAGTTGAAAGCGTTCCCTCGAATTATCGAAAATCTTTCAAAACGCTCTTGCAGTGTCATTCTGTAATACTTCGTATTGTGTCCTCCGCTGAACTAATCAATGTTGATAAGTTTAGACAACTAACTAAAGATTTAGCAGTGTTGGTTGTTTCCATGGATTGAGTATTCCATGACAGTTCACTCTCTAATTTTTCACTCTGCAGAACTGATTCAGAGAAACAACTCTGTCGGACTCAGCGAGCTATCTGAGGAAGCTCTTGAAAGCTGTAATAAAGACATCCGTAATTTTAGAGAATTTCTCTCTCGAAAATGTGGACACATAGAAAATCTTACGGATGTCTTCAATCGATTGTTTCTAAGAAGCGATCCTGTCATAAATTATACTGTACAACACTCTTGGGCAACAAGAAAAAGAAAGACAAAGACAAAACAGTCTTGACTTGCAACAATGAAGACGATAGCCTCTTTCACAGTATGCTTGAAGATAGTTAATTATTTCGAATTTTTATTTCTTTTAGTTTTCTTTGCATGAATTTTTAGTTTTTAGCATTATTTTAGTGTTTTTAGGGTATACATAGCAAAAGCACGAAAAATGACCTGAAAGTACCGGTCTAGAATTTGCAAAAGAAGCTTAGTGACTTAGTCAGCTGCATGAAAAAAAGAGCCAAGGGGTAGGGGCGGGCACTAAATTGTGTGATGATGTGCTTTTTCTAGCCAGCGCTCTTGTTCGCATCTGCTAAAACATAGAAAAGAATTTAAGTTATGTATTCTACAAAAAAGTGGTTTCTAGAGAACTGGACTTTCAGAAAACCTCCTGAAAGATTCTGAAAAACCTTTCGGTTTCTAGATTCGAAATCAGCGTACTTAAAAGCCTATAAGAAATGATTTTCGAAGCAGAACTAGGTGTTTTTACGGCCATTTGGTCTTTAGAAAACCAAGGATTTCTAGAAAACCAACTTTCAAGTACTTTTGAGTTCTGGAAAACACTTCATAAGAAAGAGCACATGCGAAAACCTATAGAAAAAGTATTCTTTAATGTATTGGAGTCTTTTAAAACCAAATGTGCATGTGCCTATCAAAAATTGCCCACTGTGCGATAGAACTAACTCCTTCCCTTTCACATTGTTCCTTTTTATTACATGAAACTATGTCATTTTTAATATTCTTGAACATTTTATTTAGGCTTTAACACATTTGATGCGTTGTGTTGGTTCAAATGAAGAAAAAGGAATTGATTTAGCAATCATTTGCGTTAGAAAAGCACATAGTCAACAATTGACACAAAAATTACTTGATTTTTTTACTTGGAGAAAAAGATCAGATTCCAAAAGTATGTGTTCAAATTTCATCCATCTTGTATAAACTTATTAATATTTAAAATTTTTCAGTAAGCAAAATATTTGTTTCGACTTTATCTCAGTTTGGGTCAATATATAGTGGCACCAAAAACGGCTATTATTATTGCACAACAAGATCAAGAAGCTGGTATGAAATATATTTAATATTCTTACGAGAGAATATTCTAAGATAATTCAAAGCTTTTCTAATTAGAACTAGTTCTTTCTAGAGTAATTCTTAATGCTGATCACGAATCGGATGTCCGTTTGTATTCTTATTGAATATTCTAATGGGTCTTTGAAGTCTAATGGGTCTACTCTCCGACATAAATCTAAGAGTTGAACAATTTTGATCTGATCAATGTACAGAATTCATCGAGTTGTTTTTGTGAAACAGTGAATAAGTTTTAATTGAATTATAAAAAGTTTACTATCAAAAAATCTGAAAAAGTCAACTATTTGACTATACTTGAGATTAATATTTTTATAATTCAATTAAAACTTATTCACTGTTTCACAGAAACAACTCGATGAATTCTATACATTGATCAGATCAAAATTGTTCAACTCTTAGATTTATGTCGGAGAGTAGACCCATTAGACTTCAAAGACCCATTAGAAATAAGGATATAAACGGACATCAGATTCGTGATCAGCATCAAGAATTACTCTAGAAAGAACTAGTTCTAATTAGAAAAACTCTGAATTATCTGGAAATATTCCCTTTTTTATAGTTCATAGAAATATTAAATATTAGTTATCTTTTAAAGGAAATTATCGAAGTGTTCGTGATGTTCTATTTACAATGCATCAAGAACTGAAAAGTCAACAGATCATCATACCGTTTGAAATGTCGAATAGTCTAATGTTGTTACACAGTTATATTCTTGTTAAAATTCAAATTAAACTGAATAATCATGTTCGTATAACGAAGATAATTCGTTTTAAACAGTTAATGGATTTTTTTTTATTTATAGGAAAGAGCAGCAAGATTATTAAATCGTGTTGCTCACAATGTTAGCAAATTTTCAGTGCGTAAGTTATTGTTGAATAAATTAAATGACTAATTGGAAGACAATTTTATTTTTAAACAGATATTATTCAAATTCTAACAACAACAGTTGTTGAATGTCACAAAGTCGGTGAGTATTAGATTAAAAATTAATCAAATTTAATTCTTTGTTTATCCCTAGGTATGCATAATTCTAGGTTAAATTTTTTATCGTCATTAATGCGATCCATATCGTGATCAAATCGATCCAAAATATAGAAAGAAAATTGAAACTCTTGTTCGGTAATCTTGTAAAAGTAGTAATGAATAATTGAGAAATATATTTCGATTACTCTATTTATTCACATAGAAAACGGGAAAAAACTGAAAGTGATGAAGAATATTCACCGTGTCCAAACTGCAATCAACGTGTTCCTGATTGCTCAAATTGTCAGTTATCATTGCCCTATTGTATAGTGACTGGTGCACATATTATTTGTGATGATCTCTGCTCTTGTCCAATTTGTGATTTTACAGCAATATATTCAGAACTTTTAAAGTACGTTTGAAATTTCATGTGAGTAAAAGTATTTTATTTACCAATTTATTGATTTATTTTTCAGATATTTACCGATGAATGACACTTTTCCAATGTGTTCAAATAAAATAAATCCATCTAATATTATCAAAATTGATAATAACAATTTTTAAATCAAACATCGAATTCATAGTTATTGTATTCTATTTATATTGTTAATTATTTGTATTACAAATTTTTAAATTAGTCTGTCTCTATGTTATTGAAAAAGGTGTAAATAAGCGTAATTATAGTAAATTGCTGATACATGTGTTGGTAAACTATAATAAATATGGTCCGCTTTAACTTCTAAAATAGATATCTCTGGATAGTATATGTGCTCATTCGATTTTCTACTTACGCACTAGAGATCTGCGGTCCCGGCCCGCCGCATTTTTTACGAGACCAGGACTAGATTTTTCTGAAAATAGCCTTGTATAAAGCCTAAAAATTTGTTAGTTGCTATAGCTTTTGGGCCCTAGTTTTGCGAGAAAGAACTCACACAAAATTCTAAAAGTCTTCAGTTAATAATCTCATCGCAATCGTGTTATTTTCCAGGTTAGTTTGAAGTATTTGTCGTGCTGCTGATACACTTTGTTGTTGTTGCTACAAGTCTACGAGACCACGGGACCGGGATCAACAATAACTTTTTTCTGCGGGATCGGGATCAGAACCAAAATTTTTTTTGTGCATGGAATCTCGCAGACCTCTGTTACACACACTACTACGCATATAAAAGAAAAGGAACGATAATGTTTTAGTTCAACGATCCATCACGTCTGTGAACAAGAAGAAATGCGTTAATTATTATTTGTAATCGTGATTTAATTTTGTAATGTATGTAAGACTTCTGATAACTCTTGATTGGAGAGTAATAGCAAACGCGATTCTCACACTAAACAAATCTAAAAAATAGACGGATAAATCTGTCTTAAGCTAATGCTAAGAAGTTTATCTAACTTTTCCATTAACTGACTTATAATTCCAAACAATGACCATTAAATTCAACGATGAATTTTAATAAATATATCGTGTAGATTTTCGAAGAACAGATCAAAATGTTTTATATAACAAAGTTTTGTTGAGAATGATAGTATTATCCACAATTTCCTATTGTACTAAACAAACTGTCTTTATTAGATTCGCTCTCGTGAACAACAACAAAATTCAAACAGACTACCGTATTGAGCATAAAAAACATTTATTCTAATGGGTAGAACAAACAGCGAACCGTTTTTCCTGGATTATCGGTGATGTTGATCATTTAATATTCATTTTCTTAGATCTAATAAGAGATTTCTTTCATAAAACATATTATAGATAGATGCGAGCGTTCAGAATTCGTATGGATGTAGTCATTTTCCAATTAGAGTTTAATTAGAGCAAATCCGTACTCTATTTTGACCTGTAATTTTTATTTTTAGGCTAAAGTACGATCGAAGTTTAGATTATAGGCCATTTTTGTACGCAAGAAAAAAATTGCTGTTGATCTTGCCTTAGGCCAGAGTAAGTATTTTAATTTTTTTCTGATTGAATTATTAAGTAAGAAATGAGTTTAGTAACGAGCAAAATAATAAACAAAGTTGAATTTTTTTTGAATGAAAGTACGTGGTAATAATGGCGGACTTATTAACGTTCTATTAGTTTTAACACCAACAGACTCATTCCCTCTAAACAATTTTCTAATAATTGTTGAATATTTTTACTTTGAGCTATTACTCGTTTGTTAGATATACTACTGTCCCTTTATCTCGAAGAGTTGCATGCTGTGAATTTTTAAAAATCAGCATTTTATCGTATAGCTTTGTCAAAACCAGACACCATTGATTACATTAGTTAATTTAGTACATTTTTATGCTAATTTCATGAATATCTAACGTTGTTTCTAAAACGTTCGCTAACTCTTTAACAGTGTCGTTTATCTTTGTTCAAATGTTATTGATATTATTGGTACTACTCGTTAAAGCCAAATGTTGATCCATAAACACTGCACAATAAAGAGTTAGATATATCAAATAGATTTAGCATTGTCCACCTTGTAAACAGAAATATTGATATTTCACTGTTTCATTTTTCATCTATTTCAACAATTGTTACAGTTGTATAGAAACTATGTTCAATCATTAGTCTATGCCTATGTTAGCATGTTAGCGAGATCAAAAAAATGATTTAATAACACCATTTCCAGCTCTTATGTTAGAATTTGATTGTTTAATTCATCATTTTCATCAATTATTAACACAATCGTCTCATGATCATTGTGATGTGGCAACAATACACAAATGTCTTGGCCGATACATATGTCTTTATAATCAGGCATTGAAACATTATGATCGAGCGATAAGATAGACAAACATGTGCGTTTATTCATGATCATCATATTAATCTTACTCAATCTTATAATTGATTTTACTTCATATAAAGTTCAGAGATCCTCCTATGATTTTCAATTTTTATCAGGCGAGTATTGATAGTAATTATTCAAAATTTTAGAGTAAGAGTGTCCGAACTCAGTCATATCTTACAATTATCTCAGATATGTTAAAATCTTCATTCTTTATTACTGATCTATCTTTTTTTTCATCTTGGTTAGTGGTTAGGCGTTCTTTTCCTGTTCTTTTTTAAACTCTTTCCGGATGTACTCGCTTGTTACAACTGCACACAACATATAATGGATACATTTCCGATTTCTTGTTTAATAAATAAAGTTTAAATCAAATTTAAAATAACAAAACGGAATGAAACAAGCGTTTAAGGGTTATTTATGTGCACTACAAAGTTAGCAATTTTTTTCTTGATTACCAAATTCTTCGTGCAAGAGCTATTCGGCAACAATTTACTTTTAGAATAGAAATTATCACTGGCAAACATTAGATATACAAACAAGAATTGTAAATCATCAGCACAACAATTAAATGTATATAGAATTGACTCATCTCTATAATGAGATAATTAATGAATAATGAATATAAGACAATGTGAACATAGTGTTAAAATTATTGACATTCTTAGATAAATTTATTCCAGAAGTGAAAAAAAGAATAGGCAGAAATAATAATGACTCGATTTTAAGTATAAGATTTGTCTTGTTTAACAATGTCAGCAAAAATAGAAATTGTATTGAATAAATAATGTAGTGGAACAACCGTCATTGATAACTCGTTTGGAATAATTGAAACAATTATTATAATTATTGGTAACGGATTGAATTTTTTAGTGATTATACAACAATAATTTATCATAAAAAATATTTTTAACTTATGTAAACTATATGTCTTATTCTAGAAAAAAAACAAAACAAAACAAAAAAAAAGAAAAGTTTTCTAAAGTTTCTATCATATAGATCATTCTTTTCACTGATTTCTTGTCATATTTCTCTAGAATATGTTATAATTGATTAGCATAACAGCTAAAAATGAAATATTTTGATATATTATATGTTCTCAATAGAATTCAAGAGCTAACTAAAAAAAAAGAAAAAAAACGTTACATCATATCAATTTTCATCATATTAGATTATTTTAATAAACGTTCATATTTCTTTGCAATACCGATACATATTCTGTCTGAAATAAGGACATTTTTTTTATTTTTATTTTTCTATTCGTTTTTCTCTTTTCTCTTTTCTTCTCTTTCTATTTTTTCAGGATGAATAAACACTAACAAATTAGAATATAATGAACCGTGTTGTTGTCGTGCTATATATACATAATCATATTTTATTTTTAATGAACAAAATCACAGCAAAACAGGGCGTACATATCTAAATAATAGAATTGATTCTATTTTCAAATATTATAATTAAAAATTATATCATTTTAATAACTGAAGCAAATACTCACTTCTTCACTTAACAATATATGTTTTTTTTTTTTTTTTTTGGAAACAATACTCAAAAAAACTGTTATTTTACGTATAGTAGATGTTAAGATCTTGCTTTAGGCAAGCGAAAAATGAATTTATTTTTCATCATTTTTATTCTAATGAGATTTAAATGACTATTTCTTTATAGGATCAAATATTATATTTGACAGATTCCTCTTCTCTCTCTCTATTAATTATTCAAATATTAAACTTAACATATATCATTTCTTCTTTTTTTTTGTTTTGTTTTTTTTGACCATGTAAAATAATATACTAAAAAAAAAAAAAAATTTATTTTGAGATTAGTTTATTTATTCAAAATATTCTATTTTGGACATGTCAAATTGTGTTTAAAATAAAACAAAAAAAAAAAAGTGTCGACATTTGTTTCATTTGAAGATATTTTATTATAACAATTGTTTGTTTATTAACAAAACATTTTAGTCTATATACTCTTTTTTCTTATGACTAGACAATTTATTTTTGTTTTTATTAAAGATTATTCTAAAACAATTTTCTTCTAGAAAACGGCAATAATCGAACATTTACATTAGCTTTTAAACATGTCAAAATCATTAATCAATCTGATAGAACATTGGTTTTTTTCAATGAATACATTAAATATTGTTTCATATAAAACAGTATACGAAAAAGAAAAAAACCGATAAAGATTGTTTTATTTTTTTTACCTATAAAAATTCTAGTATAGATGCTTAGAAATAGGTAAAATAACATTTTTTTTCTAGACTTATTTGTTATGAAGCTTTAACTTTATTAATTATTCTGTATTTGACATGTCTTTATGAGAACTCATGGGTATTAATTATTTGTTTTGTATTACAATAAACTTATTGTATAAACACAAATCTAGACTAACAATTTAATTTTTCATCAATCATAAGGATTGTTCGTGTTATAACAGATTATTTTAGTTTATAATGTTATAAAATTTTTATTATTATATGACTAATAATTATATTGTAGTTTAAATTTAAAAGAATCAAGTAAACGTATTAGATTACTTAGATGAATAAGTATTATAAATATAATTTTGAATAAAATTAAAAAAGTATGCGTTTTATGACACACACGAGCGTATATAATATGTTTCCAATGTAAAATAACATAAAACCTAGAAATAAGACTAAGTGTTGAAGAAAAAACAAAAAAAAAAAAAAATAACAAATTTTATTCTTCTGCCTTTTTCTTATTTTGTATGCCTATATTCATTTGATGCATAGAATCATAAAAACTTATTTTCTGTATATAT